CTATCTATCTATCTATCTATCTATCTATCTATCTATCTATCTATCTAGAATGTAAATACAACAGAAAAACAGTTTATAAATAATATAAAATATGTGTCATTAAAAAGCATGATAGACAGCTATAGATAGATATAGATATATAACTGAATGAGATATAAGTGATAGAGATAAATCATGTAAAGGTAAAGGAGTTCCTACAGATTTTACTCCACTAGTTGTTGCCAACTTTAGGGGGGGGTGCTTATCTCTGTTTCAAGCCCCCTTGGAAGCTTCCAATTCAAAGCCATGCCTTTCGGACTACATGGGGCCCCCGGGGGTGTTCATGCAGTTAATAAATGAAGTGCTACATGAGCACCTCTATAAGGGGGTCCTTGTCTACTTGGACGATCACTTACCCCTAGTTCACCAGGTACTGGAAAAACTTCTAGCGACAAAACCCCAGAGGCCAGACCTCGCGGAGATATTCAGTGAAACTGAGTGTGACGTCCTACCTCTCCATCGTGAGACAGACTGTGCCATAGAAATCATCCCTGGGGCAAAACTACTAAAGCCCAAACTGCACGCCATGACACCCTGGGAAATGTGCAAATATATAGACAAAAACCTAGCAAGAGGGTTCATTGAGCCAGTCAAGCCACGGGTCGCAGCCCCAGTCCTGTTCAAAGAGAAAAAAAGATGGGCTTTTTTCATCGGTGTCCAAAGAAATGCTGGTCCTGTGACCAGCATGAGGTCACAGAGCGCTCTTGCAACTCTGCATTTTTGGTAGCACAGATTGTAATATTAAGAAGCATCACTACAATGACATCTCTACTGTAATATATGAAGAGACAATAACTTCAAAGTTTCATTTTCTGTTTCAGGTCAGCAGCTCCCCAGTCTCTGTTCAATTGCTGTCCATTCTCCAAAGCCTCTTGCATCTTGAACCTTCTCATCGCTCCAGTCTATTGCTCTGGGAATCCTTAGAAATTTTAGTAAGCAGAGCCATCTTGCTTGCTAATGACAGTAAGTTTTAACACACTATGAACCGTGATGCAATACATGTTCCCAAAAAACAAAGCAAGCCAAAATACAGATTTCGTGTTTGGTTTAAGAAATCTGGCTCTGGGATTGTGACCCACCAGGTTTGTTACAGACATCTGCTCCTTTTACATCATCTTCCTAGATCAACAGAATAAAGGAAACAGTATTTCGGCACTCCAGGACAAGTGGTAATAGAAAATTGTAGATAAGAGATTGTGTTGCTCAGAAAGAATATGAGTAAACATTTTCCACCCAATTTCCTGTTTCCTGTTTTCTTCTAAAGGGAGTCTGCTGCCAGATAATTCTTCATCCAGAACAAAGTACTCTTTATTAAGGGAGTTATCACTGGGAATGATGCTGGACTGTGTATAGTGAGCCAATAAATTGAGGTTCAATCCATGCAAAATAGAGGCTCCATTAGCTGTTCTGGAAAGTGGATTTGGTTTGCAGCTTAGGATATTTTTAGGTCAGGTTACAATTGTGTTCACAAGTGGTACTGCCCAAGTTTGCTTGGTATATCCTCTAGTCATCATCTTAGAGAAGATGATCTTGCCACAGTGACTTTGCTTTAGTTAGGTTTGGAAGATTTTCAGTTTATGGCGAATGAACCCATGCAAGACATGAGGCCTTTATTAATAGGCTTCCTTCACCTCATACTATGGCCCCACTGTCAATAATCCTTATTCAAAAGATAATTTGCTGCTGAAAAAGACAGATCTTTAGATCTCCTATGCTTTCAGGTTATTACTGCACCCAGAGTATACAACTATGTGATCATTGCAATAAGTGCTTGAAAACAGAGCCTATTTCACTTATTAATCTAAATTATCACTGTAAAGTTTAAGTTTCAGAGCTTGTGTTTGTCTAGTTCATAAATCCCTATATGGACTCAAAATCACCCTTCCCTCTACTCAGTCATTAATGTAAGCTTCTCTTCAGGCAGTAGTAAATACCTCTTTATAAATACATTGATGTGGTCAAATGACAAAACACAAGCAAGGAACATGTTTACATATAGTTACAAGTAATTTAGTAAATAACCTTGTAAAATTGCATAGTAAGCATGAGAAATAAGAATATACAAAAAATAAGAGATGCAGGTGGAAGACTGTGATGACCAGTTAGCTCCAGGATTTTGAAGTCTGTCTGGAAAAATGCAGAGAAGCTAAAGTTGATTTTCATTGGCTTCAGTCCATCTCTGCTTTTAACTCTTTGGCATTTCCAATTAGGCCTTCTTGGCTCAGTTTTACTTAGGATTGGCTCCTTTAGAGTAGCTTTCCAATTATTGGATCATCATGAGCAGCAGAGAAAACACCGCATCTTCCAGTGTTTTACAAATAATTTAAAGGAAAAGTCTATGAAAGCTTTTCCTGCTGTCAATTCTCCTAATAAAAAGCTTTTTCAAGAAATCAAAATAAATATTTAAGTTTAAATATCACAATTTTACTCTTAATCAAAATATAATGATATAAAATACATAATATGTAATATACTTGTCTTCAGTTATAGTTACAGGGTTACCTGATCGATGTTACATTCTAGTATGAAGTTGAGAAAAAACAGGAAGGGATATAAACATCAGACAGAAGATAAAAAGTTCAGACATCAATACAGTTCAAGCATGAGCACATGTGCTCATGGAGTGAGCGCTCCGTGAGTGGAGATGGAGTGCCTATTTTTTTTATGCATAGCTCTCCAACTGACATTCTCTCTTAAAGGAGATGTGCTTGGTTCTATGGTTGCCTAGTTTGAGAAAGAAGACTAAGAGTCTTGTCCACCCTCTTTATGTCTAGCACACAACGAAGTGTGAACCAAACTAATATGCTCATACGAATGATTTAAATCATTTTTTCCTGATTTTCATGTTTAAATCTACTTGAAAACTTTGTTCATTTGTTAAAGATACCATCTTAAAAATGTTCATTATGGCATTTGTATGAAAAAAAGAATAGGATTTAGTTTGTTTTGCTCTGTTCTGTTTTAATGTTTTGCAGTACAAGATAATAGTGTGGAAGAAGTAATGGATAGATTGTTGTCTGTCAAGAAACACCGCAAGAAAAGAGAGTTAGGATCCAGAAGAGCAGCTAAGAAGGTGAACGAAAGCACTCAGACCAATGAAGATTTGGGGCAATGCCCAAACACCACCCAGAGCTCTTCTCCAAGAACTTGCTCTTCCAACCTTCCGCTTAACGTAGAGCCACCCGATGCATCTAAGGTTGCATCCTCCTGCTTTTCGGTCAGTCCAGCTTCACCAGAATGGAATCTGTCTTCAGCCGCTCCTGTACCGCCTCCTTCCCCTCCCCTCCCAGGAACATCAGACATGTTGCCACAACAGCCATCTCCTCTACCTGGGATGCAAATGCCAGTATCAGTTCCCACGTTGCATGATGTAGCAACAATCCCACCCCCTCCTCCTCTGCCTCCGATGACCAGCATTCTTCCCCCTCCCCCGCTGCCCAGTATGACAGGGATCCCTCCCCCTCCCCCTCCCCCTCTTCCCACTATGATAGGGGCCTGTTCCCTGCGTCAAAAGTCCGCCATGCCACCATCACCTCCCCCGCTGCCCAGTATAACAGGGATCCCACCTCCTCCCCCACTGCCCAGTATGACAGGGGCCCATTCCCTAAATTCAGCCATGCCACCGCCGCCTCCCCCACTGCCAGGTGTGGTAGGGATCCCTCCCCCTCCCCCACTGCCTGGCATGGCAGGCATCCCTCCCCCTCCCCCGCTGCCTGGTATGGTAGGCATCCCTCCCCCTCCCCCGCTGCCAGGCATGGTAGGCATCCCTCCCCCTCCCGCTCTTCCTGGTGCTGCAGGAGTGCCACCTCCACCCCCACCACTCCCAGGCATGCCACCTCCTCCTCCCCCACTGCCTGGGATGGAAGGGTTACCACCCCCTCCCCCACTGCCAGGCATCCCACCTCCTCCACCTCTGGGAGTCAACATAGAGGAAATTGTCCCCGCGTGGGCCAACGCTCTTAGCTATGCCACACCACCCCCTAAAAGAAGGAAGATGCCAACGCTGAGGATGAAGAAGCTGAATTGGCAGAAGCTCCCCACCAATGTGGTGAGAGGTAAGAACTTCTAAAGTCTTTAAGTGCTATCTCCTTAGTCAGACCTTTCCAGGGAGGCTTAAAAGAAAAGATCTTGGTTTGTTCCGGCAGATTTTCTTCCCTTCACAGTTGAGTGCTAGATGCTGCATCTGAAGTGATGGAAGCAGGAAAGGGATCTTTTTCTTAGTGGTACCCAATAATGTAAGCCAAGCTTTTACATTCATGTTCCCTCTCATGCACGCTTTTTTGCATGAGATGAAAGCAGAATTCGAATCTTTTAGTGTATATTTTAACTGACATATTTAACATTATTTTCGAAAGAGAGAAAATGTATCTGTGGAGTCCATGATATAAACTTATAAACTTATCCGTGTTTTTGTTGAGTAGCCGGCGGACACACGAGGCAGACACGGGACTGAAGGCTAACATTGCTTTATTCGAAGCATAATGGGTTGCCGTGGCTGCCCAGGCTGGGTTGGCAGCCCAGCTGGCGACAAAAGCTGATGCCGTTTGACAGCTCCTTTTATAGCCAGCTGTTAAACGGCATCAACCAATGGGAGTGATTGGCGCTCCCGCCAGAAATGCGGACCAGACTGGGGACAGTAGTTAGTCAGGGAACACAACACCCCTTCCCCCTGGCTAGGGGCATGGGCAGACCTGCAAATAGGCCCCAGTCCCAGGGGATCCCCAGCTGGGGTAGAGTCCTTTGCCCCCGGGATCATCCGGGCAGCTGCAGGGGTGCAAGGTTTTCCCCGTTTGGTTCGCTTCGGGTATTTCGTACGGCTGGAGTGGTAGACCGGGCCGTTTGGTCAGGAGTCCATGCGCTTTGTTGGTAGACCGGCTCTAGGCGTTGGCTGAGTAGACCGGGCCCTTTTGCGTTTGTTGGATAGGCTGAATCTGCTTTGTTTGCTGGGTAGATCGGCCTCTCGCGGTTTGACAGGTAGACCGGGCCGCTTAGCTGGGGATCGTTGTTGATGGCTGGGTAGGCTGGCTCGTCTCGGCCTTCGGAGGATAGATCAGCTCTCATGGGGTAGACTGGCTCGTCTCGGCGTTCGGCATATAGATCAACTCTCAGTGGGTAGACCAGCTCGTCTCGGCCTTCAGCGAATAGATCGGCTCTCGGGGGGTAGACCGGCTCGTCTCGGCGGCTTTTGGAATGGCGGCATTAGTGCCTAAGGTGGCGTCCGTCTCCTCAGCGAGGGAGGCTTTGAACTTCACACTCTCGGTAGCGCCAGGGGCAGTGCCTGGCGGGGGGCGTTTTTCTCCTCAGCGATGGAGGCTTTGAGCTTCGTGCTCTCGGTAGCGCCAGCGGCAGTGCCTGGCGGGGGGCATTTTTCTCCTCAGCGATGGAGGCTTTGAGCTTTGTGCTCTCGGTAGCGCCAGCGGCAGTGCCTGGCGGGGGGCGTTTTTCTCCTCAGCGAGGGAGGCTTTGAGCTTCATGCTCTTGGTAGCGCCAGCGGCAGTGCCTGGCGGGCGGCATTTTTTCTCCTCAGTGAGGGAGGTTTTTTTAAAAAAACTTCGTGCACACAGAGGTCGTCTGCGGCTCGTGACTTTCAGCTCTCAGCGGCTTCGGCTCTTTTTAATAGTGACTTGCTCGGCTGTTTCAGTCTGGTTGCCTCTCATTTGTGCATCCCACCTTCGTCGCCAGTGTTGAGTAGCCGGCGGACACACGAGGCAGACACGGGACTGAAGGCTAACATTGCTTTATTCGAAGCATAACGGGTTGCCGCGGCTGCCCAGGCTGGGTTGGCAGCCCAGCTGGCGACAAAAGCTGATGCCGTTTGACAGCTCCTTTTATAGCCAGCTGTCAAACCGCATCAACCAATGGGAGTGATTGGCGCTCCCGCCAGAAATGCGGACCAGACTGGGGACTGTAGTTAGTCAGGGAACACAACAGTTTTAATGAATGGTTCTCTTTAAGCTGAAGCACTGCCATTTAAAAAAAAATTACCCCGATAGGTGTCATCTGCAAGTAAAAAAGCAGGGAATAATTTTTCTGGTTTTGGAAAGGCATTATTGTTCAGTATATTATCAAGAGTACACCGTGTGTAAGCAAGGAATGGATTTTCTCAGTGTTGCTCAGACATTCAGGGAAATTACATTTCAGTTCCTGCCATTCCCAAATTTGGGGGGGAATGGACATAAGGCTCAGCCGGAAACCATGGAGGGCTGAGCCAATCACTGCACTGAATTTTTTATTATTGTAACCCTAGTAATCATCCTATAAACTAAGAATATTGGAGTTAAAGGCAGCAGATGGGGAAAGGTTAAGAGTAAGGTGTTCTTCCTTGTTCTTAAGAAAGTGTTCTTCCACTTTTCTATCGAAAATCTATGTCAACTAAATAATTAACAATCTTAATTATAGGATATGTTTCTGTACACATTTTCCTGTGCATTTTCCTCCTACATGTGTGTGTCTGTGTCTGTGTGTCTGTGTACAGGTAGTCCTTGACTTACAATACTTGGTATAGTGACTGATGTTACAGCAGCACTGGAAAAAAGGTGACATAACCATTTTTCACACTTATGGCTGTTGCAGCAATCTCCTTGGTCACATGATCAAAATTCAGATGCTTGGCAACTGACTCATATTTCTGACAATTGCAATGTCCCAGGGTCAGGTGATCACCTTTTGTGGCCCTCTGACAAGCTAACTCAATGGGGAAGCCAGATTCACTCAATAACCATGTTACTAACTTTACAACTGTGATAAGAAAACTTGTAAAATGGGACAAAATTCACTTTACAAGTGAATTTGCTTAGAAACATAAATTTTGGGCTCAGTTATGGTCATTAGTTCAAGGAACTACCTGTATATGCATATCCTGCCATTCCTTCAGAAACTCAGGACAATTTATTTGTCCCACATTACAAATACTGAATTGGTCCTGTCCTTTCAAAGGCATAGATGTGAACTGTGAAGCTATGAGATGCAATTCACCATCCTGCCTTGTGTCTTTCAGAGAGTCACTCCATGTGGGCATCAGTAACAAGCACGAGTGAAGAATATATTGAGCCGGATTATTCTAAAATAGAACAGTTGTTTTGCTTTCCACAAACCAAGCCCAAATCAAAGGAAGTTGCACCAGTGAAGACAGAACCAAAAGAGGTATGTTGATAATCTACTTGAACTAACGATATTCATTTGGATGATTGTTTGAACCATCCCAGAGTTCCCATATATCAGGTGTTGAGCTTGCTACAGAACAACATCCTGTTACCCAACTAAGCAAGGAGGTTTTTTGAGATTAGAAGGAACATGGTTTTTTTTCATGTTAGTTTGAGGGTTGCACATGCTTTAAAAATGATTTGCCAGGAATGCTTCAGATATTATGTGAGTATGGGACAACAGTCACTATTATTGAATAAAGTTTATACAGTGTACAATTTTTATTTTTATTATTTTATTATTTTTATTTGTGAACATGCAAGCCTGTAAAATAATGTGGCTACTCTAAATTGTTCCAATATAGCAATTTTAATTAGATCATTATTTAGGGCAAATGGAATAAATTCATTACTAATATTTAAAAAACAGGATTCTTAACAGAATTCAGAGTGAAGGTGATGGGCCGCAAGGAGAAAGCAGAACTGCTTAATTCCTTCTTTGCATCTGTCTTTATGCAAAAGGGGAGGGAAATCCAACCTACTAAAAGCAGCACTGTGGGAAACAGAACAGGAAATGCGGGTCAAAATAAACAAGGAATTGATTTTTTAAAAAACACCTATCTGCTTTGGATGAGTTCAAATCTCCAGGACCAAGTGGTTTACATCTTTGGGTGCTAAAGGAGTTAGCAGATGTGATCTCAGAACCACTGGATAAAAATTTCCAGTGCCCCTGGAGCATGGGGAAACTGCCAGAGGACTGGAAAAGATTTGATTTGGTTTCAATCTTCCAAAAGGATAAAAGGGTAGATCCAGGAAACCAATCAGCTTGATATCAACACTTCGACCCTCCATGGTCTTTTTCAGCCCTATGATTCTCTGAAGTTCAGAAAATTATTATAGTTGGTCACACAGTCAGCCAGATGTTTAGACTGGATTTGGCATTTTTATCCACCTGTCAAGTCTTTATTTACATATTTAAATTTATTAGCTAACCAACTCCAGTGAACCTTAATCTGAATGTTAAACTAATGCCACAATAAAAGAATGAAAAGAAAACATTGGCATTATTCACGCTTGCCAATTGATGATAGCATTATATAGATTTGGCAAAGGCCATTTACAGTGCCATAAGTCTTCTTATTTTACAAATTTCTGTAAAAATAAAGCTGAGAATAACTGGCAAGTAGTTTTAATTTATACTTTGTTATGAATTTATAAAACTCACCAAAAATGTTTCAATTTTCCAAAACAGATTACATTTCTAGATTCCAAAAAGAGTCTTAATTTGAATATATTTTTGAAGCAATTTAAGTGGTAAGTGGTATTTTTATATTAATAAAATAATACTAACATCATTAGAAGTAATATTTGTAATAAGTAACACTGCCATCCTGTGCTTATTTTATGTAATTATTATAGATTTACATATCTATTCTCTTAAACTGCACTGACACATACAAGAATTACAACAGAGTTTATCATATATTTAGAATCTGACTTATACACACATATACACATGAAGCTTCTCCAAGTAGCCATCTTTCTTTAATGAAGCTTCTTTTTGCATTGAGGCAAAGAGGAAAATTCTTTCTATACTCTGGGACCTGCTGACAGGAGTTATCTTTGTCTCAGGTCTGATATCTTTTTGCCATACATACTTGGGATTGGTTCCACTTTGGATAGATGCTACCTGTCATCATAACATAATAGATGCAGCCTAAAATTAGACCTGGGTAGCTTTTTTGCTTGAACCTAAAGATCGGTGTCCTCGTTCATCATTTACCCTACCTAGCATCCGCATTCATTGATAGCCAAATTCAGAATATACCTGCAATGACTAATTTTTGCTAATTGGTTTATCTTTCTTAAGTATACCCATTCCTTTTTAAACTAATTTAGCTAGCAACCAATACTGATTTTTGTTGTAATGAATTCCAAATGTCAGTTGCAGGTATAGAATGAAGTGATATTTTTCCCTTCTGACTTGAAGATGCTTGTTAATCAATTTCATTGGGTGGACACAATATTCTAACCTTATAGCAATAGCACTTAGACTTATATACCATCCCATAGTGCTTTGCAGCACTTTCTGGGCAATTTACAATGTCAGCATATTGCCCCAACAATCTGAGTGCTCGTTTTACTAACCTCAGAAGGATGGAAGGCTGAGTCAACCTTGATCCCATCAGAATCAAACTCCAGACTGTGGGGTTACAGTTAACTTGCAATACTGCATTCTAACCACTCCACCACCAGGGCTCCTTATGAGAAGAAGAGGAGAGAATCCTGCCTTTGCCTTCCCCATAATTACATAACAGTAATTGCATCTAATCCACAATCTTTTTTATCCACAGCACAAATGAGGAGGTGGTTAAAATGATTCAGGAAGGTGACAGAACAAAGTTTGATGTTGAAGTGCTCAAGCAGCTTCTTAAACTCCTACCGGAAAAACATGAAGTAAGACAAATAACAACAAAAAAGTCTATTATTTCAATTTTTCTTTGTATTGCTTTTGCTGCATTTATACATCATGATTCAATAATCAATACATTGTGTGTGTGTGTGTGTGTGTGTGTGTGTGTTGTGTTGAGAGAAAGAGAGGAGGGTTTTTTGTAGCCTCTTCATCAGTGTGGCTGAGAAAAGAAGTTCAGAAGCTGTCTCCTGAGATTTAAATTAATCAGAATTTAATATTACTTCCAAACAAAAATGTAACTGATAAATTAATGATAATAAATTGATGATTTATTAGCTTCTTAACCCATTATGATGCTCAAAACCACAAGCCTTTGTATATGTGAAAACAGCAATGTTACTGGAACATGACGTTTCTCTTTTCTTGCTAGATAGAAAATTTGAAAGCTTTCAAAGAAGAAAAGGAAAAATTAGCAAATGCAGATCAGTTCTATCTTCTGCTCCTTGGAGTTCCTAGGTAAGAGGAATGTTAATGAGAATATTTGTTAAAGAAACATATATGTAATTAGTTAATTTAAATATACACATTTCAAACATTTCTAAAGCAGGAAATATCATTTGTTTTAAACGATTCCAGCATTATAGTAGTCACAGAAGAGTTATAGATGGGAGGAAGGGGAAATCTTTTTAACTGCACAATCAGAAGTACTAGTATAAAGAGGTATACTTTAATATCTAAATGAATGGATTAAAAGGTAATTCAATAAAATAAAAATAATGGTTGAATGTATTCAGTTGCTGGTTTAGAATAAGATTAATGCAAAATATTTTTACACAAATAAATTATGCGAGCTGCATCTTCATATAGGTAATCCTTGACTAAGGACACTTGGGAGGAATGGGGGGAAGTGGAATCTGTTATTACTCCATCAACCCCTCCACTGTGCTGTTAATGTTTAAATAATATTAATGTATTAATAATTGGTTTAATATTCCCAGTTTTCCTGTATTGTCTATAGGGAAATCAAGCATTTAAACTTGTAAGATATATATAACTGATGTGCTCCAAAATAGTGACTGGCTTGAAAAATTTTCATTCTAGCTCTGTTTGGGAGCACAGTTTACAATGTGGTATTTGTATGATTTCTCCACTCTAGCTACCAACTGAGGATTGAATGTATGCTGATATGTGAAGAGACTGCAGTTCTGCTGGAGATGTTGCAGCCCAAAGCAGAAACAGTAAGGAGGGCTTGTGAAGGTTAGTGATTGTTTAAGGCCTAAATACAGTTTGGGTGTTCTGAGTTGGCTGAAGAATAGCCAGTTTCTTTCCAATCTAAACATCATAATTTGCTGAGAAATCAATTTGCTGAGAAACCTTTGCAGAGAGCCAAGACTTAAATGGTTTGGTCAGTGCTTATGTAAATGCATAGATCTGTCTTTGCTCAGAAGATCCATGTCCACCCCTGCAACAGGTATAAAATATTTGCATTCTCAATCTCTCCAGATTAGTTAGCCAGTCTTTGAGAATGTAATGAAGCCATTATCAGTTTCGTATGCAATGTTCTAATCCCATCTGCCTAGCAGCAGAAATCCTGCTCAAGCATTCACCTTTGAAGTAATTAAAGCATGCAAGGTGGAAAGCAAAACCTCAGTATGTCTGCGCTTTTATCACATTCCATACTTACATACAAGTCCATCATACCATTCCCCTTTGGTGTAAATAACTGCAGGCAAAGGAAAGAGAAGGAGTTAGATATGAAACAAGAGGCAGAAAAAGAAACAGCTAAACCTAATTTCCATGAACAACAATCACTATATCTCTACATAGCCTTTTATCCTTTATTCTATCACCACCCGCCATACACCATACCCACATTTTTGTCAATTTCATTGAATTATGCCCTAGTTGCCCCACCCTCTCATTGTGCTCACTCTTGCTTTGTAGATCCTTCCTACAAGATCCAAATGGATCTTACTCTGCTATTGTTCAGAAAAGCAGTGAAGACTTGGCTCTTCACCCAGGCCTTTGTCTAGGGATAGTGAGACCCCTCACTTCATTCCATCTAGTCTGTCAAACTTCCCATGTTTGATTTAAGTTACTGTAATTACTATTTTTTTTTTGTAGATTTTATTTGAGTTTTCACAAAGAGAAAAAAATACAAATAAAACATCTTTTTTGAAAGTAGCATAATCCCGGGTTACATTTCTTCGTACAGACACAAATTCAGGTTCATGCTCATTTTTATATTCTATTCCATATCTTATTACGGATTTATATTTTCTGCATAGCTTCTCCCCTCTTTTAATTTTCTCAATTTTATTTTAATTATCTCATCTCAATTCAAATCATTGTATTTATATTTTTTGTCTGTCCTGTTTCAATTACTATTATCTTTTCTCATTAAACAAAATTTCTCCTGTAGTTACTGATTGGAGTATGACGCCTTTATATCTTTTCCCTAAAGTTGTAACATTCAATATAATACATAACTTCCATTCGGATTCTGCTTGGTACATTCTTAAAATACACACTGTATTCTTAAAAAAAGAAAAAAATATAAATGTATAATATAATTAAAACAACATTCCATTCCAATTCAATTTATCATTAATATTAATATTCATTAAAGTCTTAACATCTTTAACATTACTTTTCAATTAAATATCATACTTCTATGGGAACAATTATAAGCTTTCCATAGTTAATCCCCCCCTTCACTTATATTTTATAAAACATTAACTAATTAAAATGTTCCCGTTCCTTCCTAATTCAATTTTCTCATTTATTTTATTTCACTTATTTTATTAACAAACATTTCACTAAATTACACTAACTATTTTATCCCTCATTTTAATCATACATTGTTTCCAATTTTCTGAAGTTATTTCTATTACTAATATAACAATACAATCTTATGTACCTTTACAGAATCCCTTTTTCAATTAGATTTTCACCCATTATCTCTAAATAGGTCCTTTTTCTTTATATCTTGCTCTGGACCTTTGTAACTTTTTTTCCTTTCCTTCTTCCCTCTCTTCATCTCTCTCCCCTTTTTACCCCTTTGTCTCTCTCTACCTCTATTTCTCTCTTCTGTATTCCCCTTTTCTGTTGCTTTCCAGTATTATACTTATTTTTCAAATTATTTTTCTTTTCTTTGGTTGTTTTTTTTAAGTCTTAAATTCTCCATTCTCTTTCCCCCGTTTCCTTTTTCTTCCCCACATAGGGTTACTTGTTCATTAAAGATGGCTTCTTCTTTGTCTTCTTGTTTTGCAGTCTTTTCTTGTTGTTTCTCATAGTTCCAGATCTCCATTTCTAAGAATTGAAAAACGAAGCCAAAAGAACCCTTCCTTTCTTGTGCATCTTTTTTGTACTTTTTAAGTTCCATTTTCAATTCATCCAGAAGTGATGCCATTGTATAAATTTTTAAACAACCACCCGATTGATTTTAGTCATTCAAACATAATAACCAAAAATCCAAAAGTCATCAAATAATCCAAATACACGCAAGCTGTTTCTTTTTTGCTCTTTCTTTTTTATTTTCACTTTCTCTTCCTGGGGTTACTATTTAGTTGCAAAGTTTCAGTTAAAATGAATCTTTTAGAAGTCTTATTCAAGTTTTACTTTAGATTCTTTTAAAGTCCAGGCAGTCTACTCCCTCTTCCAGATCCTGCCCTTATTCTTTTTCTCTCCCTTCCTGCTTATAGAAGAAAAAGTTTTTAATGTCCAGAAATCTTTATTGTCCCTTTATTGCATTTTGTTTTATTTTCAGCTTAATTGCCTACTGATGTCAAAGCCGATTTTTCTGATTTCTTATTTAAGTCTCTTAGTTGTCAGTATAGGGAAAGAGAGAGAAGAAGAAAAAAGCCAAACCTTTCCCTTTTCACTTTCCTTCACTGATTCCAACTCTTCTTTGGGAGTGATGTTATTTTTTTGTAAGTTTAAATTCCAGTGTACCTTAGTTGTTGCTTTTACAATTTAACCCGGTCAGCCAAAACTTTCACTTCTTATCTTCCTCCTGCACATTCTTTTCTGGTAGAGTTCTCCTTTGTGGTGGCCATTTCTGACCACCGCTGCATCCACCTTCGGGAAAGGGAGTAATGGCCAGCTGAGGAGGAGAGATGCGGCTCTCCTCAACCCTGCTGGCAGTCTTCCCCCTCTTCACCATCTCTATGGGGTGGCTTAGCCCCGAAACTCCAGCGGCGAGCCCAGACAGAAACCGTGCACGATCGCGGATTTCTTTCTGTCGCTGAAGCCCTTCAAACCGGAAGTCTAGTTACTGTAATTTCTTTGTTTGTTGTGAGTTATCCAAAGTCATTGGGTGTCAAGCAGCATCCATGTTTAATAAATTGTTGCTCTTGTTGTGATTTGATCTTCAGTTCTTCTATCTTTATGACCAAACCACCTCAATTATTCCTTCATACTGCATGAGGCAATGTTTATTTAGCATCCATTTATTCTTGACTGTATCTCTTCTTGTTTCCCTACACACATTTCTTAAACAATCCGTTCTCATTGCATTTAGATAACTTTTGACATTGAACTTTTACAGTATACATTAGAGAGGCATTTTTATATGCAACCTTTTAAAAGTTATTTTGATAAGCATTCGTTCCTGAAGATAGATCACAGTATATGAACGCGCTTTGTCTCAGAATTTGCATGTTATAACATTTCTCCATTCATTTCCCACCTTTAGTAAATGTTCTGCTATCTGCTCTTTTTTCCCCACTTAGATGCAGGTATAGGATAATCAAGTTGGAAGGGGTCTCAGATGACAGTTGTAAACCAACTCTTGGCTTGGTGCACAATCTGCTATAACATTTGTTCTCACACAATGTTTATTTCAGTCATTTATCTCTATTATGACCCTCAACAAACACATTTCAATTCCATATTAATGCAAAGCATACCTATTCATTTTGCCACACACCATCTCTGGCTTTGCAACACTGTAATAGCAATAGCAGTAGCAATAGCACTTAGACTTATACCACTTCACAATGCTTTTTACTCTGAGTGGTTTACAGACTTCAGCATATTTCCCCCAACAATCTGGGTCCTCATTTTACAGACCTCAGAAGGATGGAAGACTGAATCAACCTTGAGCCTGGTGAGATTCAAACTGCCAAATTGCAGGCAGATGGCAGTCAGCAGAGGTAGCCTGCAGTACTGCATTCTAAGCATTGCGGCTCTTATACATGATCTCTAATAAACTATACCTTTCTCAACAAATGGAGCCAATGATAATTTCTATTTATAGGTTTAAATTGTGATAGGTGTGTAGTTTTTGCACTTACTTTTGCTCCATTTACATTTGCAGAGAAGAACAGTTGCCACAATCTTTTACTCATCAGACATGGCTGTGGTCTTTATATCTACACACCCTAAACAAATCACACATCCACTCCATAAGAAAAAAAGCTTTTATTTTTAAACATTTCTTCAGTTGCACTATCTAGATCTACAGTATTATTATTCTTCAACATTCTTCCAACATTTATTATTTGTTAATTAAAAATTGAAAATGCTTATTAAACTGATATTGATATTTTCACCAGGCCATCTGCGTTCACTTATTTAGCAAGTTTTCTTTCCTCTTAGATCTCCTCTCAAGCCATCGGTTGCCCATTTTCTGTCAATTGATTCTCGATGTTGGAAACTTCCTGAACTATGTAAGTGATCTTGAGAAAATGTGCATTTAAAAAAAAAACAATGAGTAAAATAGTGTTGTTCTCCTTGCCTGTTTTGCAAATATTGTTTAAACCAGCATTATGAAAATAGAAAATATAATATTCTTTTTGTTGTTCTTTTTCTCTGAAAGGGAAGTCACACAGGAGACGCCGATGGCTTTAAAATTGGTACTTTGCTCAAGTTAACAGAAACTAAAGCAAACCAGACTCGCATTACACTGCTCCACCATATATTAGAGGTAGTTTCTGTTGTTTTTCATTGATAAATATAGCAATAATAGTAAAATACTAATAGAAAGAAACTAATGCAGCTAAAATGTATACTAGCCAGAAACCATCTATTTAAGATGATATATTCCTTTGTTTTGTTTGTTTGTTTCCCTAATAATTTTATTGCAAAAATATTTGAGGGAGATGGTATTAACTAAATAGGTGTTGGCCAAATACATAACACACATAACACAATATTTTGTGTACATAAAATATTTCTTCATGACTCTTTTAGTGTTTTTCTTGCTCATCTAGCTTTATTGATTCGATTTGCTTTCTTATTAATGCCAATTTTTTGTCAATTTGTTATTTATATATTTTATTTTTATTTTCTGGCATTAATTATATCGCTCAAATTATTCCAAGGGAATGTAAGACGTCCTTGCAAAATGCTAGATACAGAAGAAGGGCTTAAACTATGGCAGTTCACTGTTTTAAAATCCATCCAGCCTAGAGATGATTCTTTTTCCTTTATCTTCCTAGTAGATCTTTATGGTTGCTTTTTAAACCGATTCTTGAATTTTCACAAAGTTTAACAAATGTATTTTGGTATATACAGTCCAGTTCATCAAATGTAGTGGCAGCCTCTATTTCTTGGAACAATCTGCTCTTGATATACAACTGGCCCAATGCTTTTGGTCTAGATGAAGGGAGTCCCAATTGGTTGACTTGCCATATATTTTAGTGTGATCCCCATTTTACTTTACACAGGATGCTTGGAAGTTTTTGCAACAACCCTTCAGAAACTTGTTTTTAATTACCACTCAATGATCCAGATCCGTCTATGGTTAATAGTTAAGCTGAATGCAGAGGATTCAAGGCAGATTCTATTAAATGAGGTAGTTCCATTTAGTTTCGCCCAACTGCAGAAAATCACATGCTTCCAGGTCATCCATGGATATTTGGGGATTCTTATACAGAGAGATCATCTATTTGGTAGATCTCTGCTTAACTAAGATTGACAGGCAAGCAGTATTACTGTGCTGATAATTTCTGAATAATGAGTTGACATACAGAGAAACTGCAGCCATTGTAAATTGTACAAGTGTATAATGTTTATACTTTCTCCCCTTTTTTCTTTTTTGGTTTAGGAAGTGGAAAAAAATCACACCGATTTGCTTCAACTTCCCAAAGATCTTGAATGTGTTTCAAAGGCAGCTGGGTAGGGATCACTATATATTTTATTATTGGCAAAACTATTTTTATAGACATACAGTATCTTACATTATTGTTGAAAAAAGTAACCTAGCAAATAAATCAGGCTATGCTTAATTGGTAAATAATTTTATTAATCATACTTTAAGGTATGATAATATTCCTCATCAAAAACTTGTTCATGGCAAGGTAATTGTTTGAGTCTCCACAATAATAGCCTAAAACCTTTGAAGTTGTTTTCTGCACAGTTAGGGTCGTACACTCCCATCACATCCACAGAACTCCCACTTCGTTCCTATAAATGAATAGAAGCAGAAACAGCATGTATGGCTTGTTTCTTTTCAGAATCAATCTAGACGTGATTCATTCTGAATCCAGCTCCAATATAAAGAAATTGCTGGAACTTGAACGGAAGCTGACATCCTCAATAGAAGAAGTGAAAGCCCAATATAGAACAGCCATTCAGGTTGGTATAACACAACTCTTCATGCTCTCTTTGGAGGATACTTTCACTGTTTCCATGTAGTTAGCTACTATTACATTTCTGTTGGAAGCAAGATACTTCCAGGTTGAAAGGATTCACCAGAGATATCACCATTGCTCAAGGGATGCACAACGGTGTTCCTTTCATGTCCTTTCATGTCCTATTTTTCCCACCCAGTATATCTATTTATCTACTTGCATTTGCATGTTTTTGAACTCCTAAGTCGGCGGGTGCTGGGACAAATTGACAGAAGCTCATTCTGTCACGTGGCTCATACTCGGTTTTGAGCTGTCAAGCTATCAACTTCTCAATGGTCTTTCAAACCCAGTGTGCTAGCCACATGAGCCACCATGGCCTCTATAAAGTTAGCTGATCCTTTCTGAATTTCAATTTAATCTCTTCCAGGATAGTTTGACTGCTAACCAAAAGCTGGAGGATGAGTTTGAACTCATTGAAACTAAGAGAACAGAACTTGCTAACTATCTCTGTGAAGATCCGAACAAATTGTCTTTGGAGGAGATATTTAATACCATGAAAACCTTCCGTGATCTCTTCATCAAAGCACTAAAGGTTTGCATCTGAGACATTAAAAAATAAGATCAGAACTGTTGTGGACCATCATTCTAATGCACAGCAAAAGTATTGGGAAATTATTAGATGGATAATATCATTTTAGACTATTAGACACCCCCCCACACACACACACACACTGGAGGGCTGCAAGTGCACAGCATTTTGGATTTGATACAAAACAATTCTTTACAGCACAGGAAGTTGCAGATATAACTTGTCAGCATCATTCATAATTTTTCTTGTTTCAGGGAAGAAGTCATAAAATTCATAGGGTAGCAGATTAAATGGAGTTGGCAGTACTGTGCACAGTATAAAAGGAAATTTATGTCCATCTCTCCCCTCCTTCCCTTTCTTCCCATGTTCTGCTTTACTTCCTACATGTGCAGTGCAGATGTGGACATAAAATTAACACAAATGGAAGGAATTCCTAGAGTCTAAAGCTGTTCTATTTTTACTGAGCTGAAGTTCCATCTCTGTGCATCATCGGAAAGTTGACATTAAAATAATACCAGGACCTTAGTTTCACACTGATTCTTGGGGAATTGATTGCCTAACTAAAATATACACGTTCCTTCTTACTGAGTCTGTATTTTTCCCATGGATTTTCCTGCAAGATTTTGAAAGCATTTAAGCACTTTGGTGTGTCTTTCTTGGTAGTTCAATTACAATTTGGATCTCATTTCATTGTCCCCTTTTTGTGCCATCTTGATTAGTTTTAGTATCTCACCTCTATTAAAAATATATAAATTGCACTACTTCTTTCTCCTTACTTATATTTAGTTTTATGCACTGATTTTTCTTAGCTCTGATTTCTTAATCTCAGGATTCCAAAAGACAGATAGGAAATAATTTGTCTTAATGTTGATCTAATTGTAATTTGTTGTATGATCGACTTCAGCCACAGTTTCGTTCTACAGATATGAGAAGAAACTGTGGTTTAATGAGTTAGAAACTCTTTATGCCTGGGCATCCAAGAAGGGGAGCATTTAATACATAGTTCAATCCTGGACCTACAAATAGCAGTCTGACCTGAGCCAGTGAATCAGTAAAGGGAATTTCTTGCAGCAAAGCTAAAAGAAGACACAACTTCTTTGGACTAGAGGTAGTTCTTGACTTATTACTATTCATTCATCAACCATTTGCAATTATAATGGTGCTGAATGAAGGGCTTAAAACATGTGGCCAAAGTTCTGGTCATTGCAGCACCTCCTTGGACAAGTGATCAAATTTCCATTGCTTGGCAGTCTGTCCGCACTGATGATCAAGGGCTTCAACTCCCTCACACCAGCCTATCTTCCCTCCATTTACATTAATTTGGCCCCCTGCCCCAGCTGATCTTCACCATCTTCTTCCTCCCATTGCTGACGTGATATACCTGGCCACGGCCCAGTCGTGTTGGGCTTGGTTTCAGCTGTGGGGAAAAGAAAACAAAAACAACCGCTGAGTCAAAACCAAAAAGACCCTTTGCAAAAGTTTCTGGAGTACAATGCAAAAAGGCTTTCTGGCACACCTCAGCTCAGCGGGCTGCTCTTGACTTCTTCTTTTCCCTGCAGCCAAAGGCAAGCCCTGATTGGCTCACTAGCCAGACTAGGCACACCTCATCAGCAGCAGGAGCAAGAAGACAACAAAGATCAGCTGAGGTGACTCATCACAGGGTGACAGGAGGCTTGGAGTGCAAGATGGGGAGGGCAATTGCAGCTGGGAGTAGATGAGATGGCCATGGATTCCTGGGGCATGAAAGCAGAGCAATAACGATAGCACTTAGGCTTATATACTGCTTCACAGTGCTTTACAGCCTTCTCTAAGTGGTTTACAGAATCAGCATATTGCCCCCAACAATCTGGGTCCACCACATTTTACCACTCTTGAAAGGATGGAAGGCAGAGTCAACCTTGAGCCTGGTGAGATTCGAACTGCTAAACTGCTGGAAGTCAGTAGTCAGCAGAAGTAGCCTGCAGTACTGCATTCTAACCACTGCACCACTGTGGCTCTTACCAAACAGCCCCAGACTGCGCAGTTTGCACCTGTTTCCTTCCCCAAAAGGCAGGGTGCAGGGTGGCCAAGAGATGGGTGGGGAGATAGACACGTAGGGGAAATTGAAGATGGTGCTTTATCTTACTGAGGCTCAGGACATGGGTGTACACTCACTTAATGACCCAGGATTGTCAGTGGATGACGGCAACTGAGACTGCTGGGATCGTCATCACTAAGTGACACAGTCGTATTACATCTTGCTGTATAACCGCATTGCTTACTCACCAAATCATAAGTCAAGAACTACTTTCATAAGTAATTTCTTTGCAATGGAAATTAAGTAGGCCCAATGTGGAGCATTGTAAGATGACAGGTGAAAATCAGACAAAAGTTAGATGTACCTTTTACATCTCATGTTCCTCATACACAGGAAAACAAGGACCGAAAGGAACAAGCAGCCAAAGCTGAGAAAAGGAAGAAACAGTTGGAAGAAGAAGAAGCTAAGAGGCCAAAAGGAGAAGATGGGAAAACCAGTGAGTCATGTAAAAGTTTTTCTTTACTTAGGTTCCACAAACCCGTATCTGACAACAAGCCCATTGAATTCAACTGAATTTACTTCCTAATGAACCTGCATAGCAGTACCTGTGGAAGGAAGTGTTTCATCTCAAATACTGCTGTCACTATGATTTTGGTGAGATGCGTTAACCTAGAGTGAGTTTAGTGGAAAGTACTTGTCAGCCAGTATGTTGTCATAGTTATAATACTGGAATGTTTGAGGAAGACTTAAATTCAAAGCCACCTTGACCCTTTAAGTGAGGTTCAATCTCTCAGTCATCCACTTTCATAATCGTTTTTTTGGAGGCAGGAAAAAAAGAAAGGAATGCTATGCACATCAGCTTAAATACCAGGCAAGTTATAATGCCAACAAAAAAAATCAGAATATATATGTATAGATATGTGTCTGTATAAGCTGGATGGATGGATAGATAGATGAATTGACACAGACACATAGACAAAAGAGATACACACAGAGAGACAGACAGATACACACACAAAAAAATTGAAAGTTTATTTTTTTAATGCTGTTCTTATGTATATACTATCTAGCACTTGTGCATATACTATCTGGCATCAATACAATAGAGTAATGTGCATAGCCTTGATGTAAAACAATCTCTTTATATGATATTTTTATTTAATAATTTTTTGATTAATTTTCCAAATTCTAAAAAACATAAAACAAAACTTTATACACTGTTATCAACATCAAGACATCTTTTGCATTTCCTCACATTTTTCACTATATGTATTTACTTATTCCTTTACCATTACATCTTACTCTTACTGTAAATCAATATCTTTTATCCTTACATCTCAATCTTCTCCATGGTATATTTACATATTTACATATTCCCTCATTCTTTTCCTAATTGTCATTTTATTTTCTTTTTATTTCTAAACCACTCATACCAGGCATACCAGGCCCTATAATAAATTGAATCTTCTCTGTCTTTTATTTTCATCATTAGCCTGTCCATCTGTATAAAGTCTATTATTTTTTTAATAACCATGCCTTCTGGTGGGACCCTTTTTTCCTTCCAGAGTTGTGCATACGAAATCCTTGCAGCTGTTAATATATGTAGCATAATATATCTATCTGTTTTATTGCATTTTTGTGTTATTATACCTAATAAAAAAGTTTCCGGATTAAATTCAATTGTCGGATTCGTGATTTCTTCTATCCATTGTCTAATTGTATTCCAGTATTTTTTCACTTCCTGCCATGTCCACCAAGTATGAAAATAAGTGCCTTTTTCTTTTCCACATCTCCAACAATTTGGGTCTGAATTAAACATTTTTGCCAATCTAGTGGGAGGAAGATGCCATTTGTAGAACATTTCGTATTGATTTTTCTTGTATGCTGTGGATGTAATTAGGTTGTAATTTGACCCTCACATTCTCTCCCAATTTTCCAGGTCTATATTACGGCCAACATTTTTCTCCCACACCACCATCGTCTCTTTGACCACCTCCTCTTCCATTTTAAAATCTAGTAGAAAGTTATATATTCTTGAAATCATTTTCTTTTCCATTTCTTGTAGAATTTTATCTAATTGATACTTTTCCATACAGAAACCAAATTGTTCTTTGTCTTTCTGATATCTCACCTGGATTTGCATGTATGGCCATCAATCTATCTTTATATTTTGTTGCTGTAATTCTTGTCTCGTTTTTAATCTTCCTTGTGGGTCTAATAGGTCTTTGTAACTCCTCTTTTTTCCCAGATCCATTGTGTTTCGTTATATTTGTGCTTCCATAGTTGACAACCAGTTTGGTATTTTAGTATAATGATTCTTTTTAATCTTGTTCCATGTCCGAATTAATGAATCTCTAATCATGTGTCTCTGAAAGTATGCATGCTGTTTACATTTCCCATCCCATAGGAAACTATGCCACCCTCTCTGCAAGTCGTGACCCTCTATTGACAATACTCTTCTATTTTCCAGGTTGATCCAATCTTTAATCCATACTATAGCCACAGCCTGATAATACATTTCCCAGTCAGGGAGTCCAAAGCCACCCCTTTCTCTTTTGTCCTGTAAAGATTTCATTTTTCTCCTAGCTTTTTTCCCATCCCAAACAAATTTACTTATTATTCGATCGAATTCTCTAAAAAAGGTTTTATCCAATCTTATTGGTACAGTTTGAAAAAGACATAGTATTTTTGGTAGGGTAGACATTTTAATTGCCCCAATTTTCCCCAGTAGTGATAGCTGTAATTTCCCCCACGTTTCCAATTCTTTTTTGATTTGTATTATTAATTTGTCATAGTTATTTTTTTTAATTGAAGAGCATCTTGCTGTTAACCAAATGCCTAAATATTTTACCTTTTTCACACTTTGCATTCCCAATTTTCCTTCTAATTTTTTTTTTTTGCTTATCTTTTAAATTTTTAGTCAATAATTTTGTTTTGTTTTTATTAATCTTAAGGCCTGCGACTTGCCAAATTCCTCTATTTCCTTTATTAATTTTACTCCCATATCCTCTGGATCTTCCAGAAAAAATACTATATCATCGGCAAATGCCTGTACCTTATAATGCTCTTTTTTAATTAAAGCCCCTTTGATTTCTACATTTTTCCTAATGTTTTCCAATACGTTTTCTAAGGTAAGAATAAAGAGAAGGGGTGACAGTAGGCATCCCTGCCTTACTCCTTTGTTGATCTTAAATGTTTCTGTTCTGTCACCATTCATTATTACACTGGCTGGCTGTCATATAAATTGTCGAAATCAATTTAATAAATTTATTGCCAAATTGCATGCTTTTTAATTGTTGTATTATAAACTGCCAATTAACATTGTCAAATGCCTTTTGTGCATCGAGGAAGACCATTGCCAATTGTTTTACTGGGTTTGCTTCATAATATTCTATTATATTCAATACCATTCTAGTATTATTTTTAATTTGTCTATTCGGTAAGAATCAGTTTTGGTCGCAATGAATGATCTGATTAAGGGTTTTTTTCAATCTTTCTTCCATTATGGACATAAATATTTTATAATCAACATTTAAGAGGGATATGAGCCTGTAATTTTGAATTAATTGATGGCCCAAATCTTCTTTTGGGATAATGTTATATATGTCTCCCCCCATGACTTAGGTAATTTTGCTGTCATCAGTACCTCATTATAAAGTTCAAATAATTGCATTTCTAATTTTCCTTGGAGAGTTTTATACAGTTCCCCAGGGAGACCATCCGGTCCCGGTGTCTTATTGTTTTTCTGTTTCAGGATTGCCTCTTGCAGTTCTCTTTATGTTATTTCCCTGTTTAACTCTTCTTTATCCTTTTCCGGGATCATAGGTAGCCCTTTTCCTTCTAAATAATGTTGGATATTTCCCTCTGGTACGTCTTCCCTACTATATAGTTCCTCAAGAACACTTTTAACAATATGCTTTTTCTTTTCAGTTTGATGTTTTAGTATGCCATCAGCATCCTTCAATTGTTGGATTGCTCTTTTTTCTTTTTCTTTCTTAAGTCTATAAACTAGCCACCTTCCCGGCTTATTTGTGTGTTCAAAGTAATTCTGTTTTATCTTTTTCATGTCCTGTAACCATTCATCTTGTGCTAACATGTTCAATTTATGTTTAGTCATTATTCTCTCCGTATTTGCTGTCTTATGTGGTGTTTTTTTCTAGTGTTTTTTCTAACTTCTATCTAGTAGTTTAGATTGTTCTCCTTTTTTTCCCTTGTATCTACGTGTATTATATGAAATTGCTAGGCCCCTAATATATGCTTTAGTCGTATCCCATAGGTTTGGAATTGATGTTTGTTGTTTTTTGTTTTCCTTCAGAAAGAACTCCAATTCTTTTTCCATCATCTTGACACATTCTTTTTCTTTTAGGATCTCCTTGTTTAGCATCCATCTTCCGTTTTTTTTCAATCCTTTTCAAATTATTTTAATGGGATTATGGTCCGCCCATGTGTTAGATTCAATTTCTATTTCTTTTATATTATGTTCCATTTCCCCATTTGTCCATAACATATCCAATCTTGACCATGATGCGTGTGGTGCTGATTAATAAGTATACTGTTTTTGTCTGGATTTCTTTCTCTCCATATATCTTTTAATCCTAATTCTTCCACCATTTGATAAAATACTTTTGGTAATGTTTTCCTTTTCCGTTTTTTCCCTAGATTTTTGTTATTGTAGTCTTTTCCTAAATTTGCTATTGCACTGAAATCACCTAGCAGGCATATGTTCTCATATTCCTGTTCTACTAATTTTCTGTATAGTTTGGTATAAATTTTTTCTTGTTTCTCGTTCGGCACATATATCAATAATATTTTCTTATAATTTATATAAACTTCTAACATCAAAATCCTACCCTCCTCATCTGCATATACCTGTTTTGCTTGTAAATGTTTCCTAATATATATTGCTATCCCCCTCTTTTTTTGATGGGCAAGAGATACGTATAAATCTCCTAACTTTGGTGCTTCTAACAGTTTACTTTGATATTTCTGGATATGTGTTTCTTGAAGGCATACAATATCTAAGTTCAATTTCTGTAGTTTATTTATCATTTTTTTCCTCTTAATTTTTGAATTTAAACCTTTGATGTTAATGGAAATCAATTTGATTTCTTCCGCCATCTTACTCTGTAGTTGTTTCTTGTTGAAGCTTATTTGCTCTCGTTTGGTGTCTCGTTCTTACACCTTCTCTTTTCACTTCTTCCTGCTCTCTTTCCTCTTGTTCTGTTTCTCTTTCCTCCACCCGATCTTCTTCTTGGCTCCTACTTTCCACTTCCTCTTTGCTGTTCTGGTCTTCTTCTGATACCACATACAGTTCAAAGAATTCCCTCGCTTTTTCTACACTGTCTATTTTAAATTTTTTATCCTGCCATGATATTAACATTCCCTCTGGGATGAGCCATTTGAACAGGACGTTATTCTTATTCAGTTGGGCGGCCAGGAATCTGTATTTCTTTCTATGTTTCCTTATTCTTCTTGGAATTTGTTTCAACGTTACAATTTCTGTTCCCTTGAATATCAGCAGTTCGTCTCTTGTGACTTTGTATATCTCATCTCTCAGTTGTTTCTTTGAGAATCATATATGAACCTCTCTTGGAAGTCTAAAATGTCTTGTATAGTTGGTATATATTCTATATACCTCGTCTATTTCCCTTTGAACCTATTGGCCCTCTTTTTATAATGCTTCTGCTATGAGATCTGCCATTAATTTGGTCAAGTCCTCCCCCTTTTCTTCTGTTATATTCTGAAATCTGAGGAAGACATCAGCCTTTTCCATCTCCAAATATGCAATTGCCTCTTCTAATTTCTTGTTCTCTCCCATTAATTTCTGTTCTATTGATTCTACCTTCTTATCTGTTTGTTCGACCTTTGCCTCCACTGCTTTCATTTTATGTTCCATCTTTACTACTGTTTGTTGGATTGTACTTATCTTCTCATCTAGTTTCCATATTTTACCTTTCATTTCCCCCATTTCACTTTTAAAGTCTGCGTGGTTTCTCACCATCGTTTCTTGTATTGTTGTTAATGCCATTTGAATTGTTTGCATATTTGATACCTGACTTGCCTTCTCAGGATTCATCATGCCCTCTATGTAACGTTGTCCTGCTGTTGATGTTATCGTTGATGTTAGGTTGGATGCTGTTTTCTTCCCAATCTTAGCGGTAGTTGTCGTGGTGGACATCTTAGGCTTCCCAAATCTACCTATTTTCTTAAGAAAGTCTTTCAATATTATCATCCATTGTATCAACTCCTTTCTGCGTTTTCTATGTTTATCTCTTCCCTTTTATCTTATTCTAATCCCTTCAGTTTATTATTACAAGGTCTAATATACTTAATAATGTCTCTCCTTAATTTTATGCACACTTTATATATATATATAAAAGAAGCCTGATGATGGCAGATGAGATTCTGCCAAAATGTTGCTACAACTTTAAAAGCACAACTACAATGATGTGGGAAAATACCCGAACAAAGCTGAATGCCATGTATGTATGTATGTATGTATGTATGTATACAACAATGTAAAACTAAGTATCATTATTGTTTATAATCTATGATAGTCTGTAACCCTCTTAATTTTCTAATCTTATTTAATCCTTTTAATAAATTAATTAAGTATAGTTCTAAATATAATAGCTTATATAGTAAACATATATAATTTAATAAATATAGATAAATATGTGTTTGATTGTTTTCTTTTCTTATATACTATATCTTATAACTTTCTTATAGTTCAATTAAGTCTATGAATCAGTATATAGCCATTAATTAGTTGTACATCAATTGATTAATTAGTTGTTATCCAAAGTATCAAATTGTGGAAAAATATAAAGAATATATAGGGTATAACAGTTATAAAGAATGTAGCAATCTATGAAATAGGATACATAAATTAATTCTTCTTGCAAGCAATCATATATATATATATATATATATATATATATATATATATATATATAT